TAGTATTTTTGTATTTTCAAAATACATTAAATACTTTGTGCCAGTCAACCTCTTTATCAGGGTGCTGATTTTGCTCATCAGCTAGTTCAGAGACGCCCCCTCCCTTCAACATTCATCACATGAGCTGCAGCTGTACAGCTCCATCCAGTATTGAGTGAGCGACTTAACTGGAATAAGATAAGGTGAGGATGTCACGGTCAACTGTACTTGCCTTCAGTTAACTTGAAAGAAGAATTGTGCACCGAAGTGTGTTAGCCAATCAGTTTTGATAGTTAATCGTTGTTGTTTTTTTTATCAACTATATTGTCAAATGTGTTTAAAGCATTATTGCATGTTAGGGCTGGGTGATATGAAAATACATATCGCGGCGATGATATAAAGCGTGAATCGACTGAACTTTATCTAAATCGTTTACATAGATAGGCCTATCAGGGTAAGCGAATATATCCGTGCAGCTTTTATTGGGCAGGGATAATTGGAACGTTGGAGTGGAAAAAGAAGCATGAATGAATGAACGATAGAATGTGATGTGCTTGGTGCAGAGTGGGACGCCAACAAGGAGGCCTACACTTTTGACTTGAAGGCACAATATGCAAGATTTTCGTAATAAAATATCCAAAAACCACTTGCACATTGTTATATATTTCATGCAGTTGTGCACTTACGTTATCCCAAAAGTGCCCAAGGATTTGTAAATCCAGAGAAATTCCAATTTTAAATAATGGCTCGTCCCGGTTCATTGTTGCCTATCAATTACGTAATATCTGCGCTTTTCGGTTTCCGCTTGTAGAAACTATGGCAACACACATGGACAAAAATGCTGCTGCAGTTAAACAGAATAAAATTAAAATTAAATGAAAAGTGTTGACTGCAGCATTAAATGTAGATCTGCTCAATGTTGCACCAAAAATCTTTTTCCGCATTTTTACAGTGTTGCGCGTTAGCAGGAAGCTCTTAAAGCTTTTTTTGTTGTTGTTAAGGACTTCATAAGGACTCATTACAAGTATGGGAAGCACATTAAAGTTCTCACTAACAGTGATCGCCAGATCTGTTTTGATATGGTGATCAAGGGAACCATGGAGGAGTGCAGTTCCAATACCTTTTCCTACCTCTGTTTAATATGTAGAGTCATCGATAAGTAAGCAATTCACAATCTAATTCCCCCGGATAATGTAAACACTGTGATGCCATCAAAACATTGCTCTGATTGAGCATTTATATGCTTAAAGTTCAATCATGACTTAAACAATCAATCATAACCCCAGAGAAGCCTGTGCACATACAGCAGCCGCAGGAACATTCGTAATAATGGCTGAGCTGTCAGCGGGGGTGAGCAACATAACTGCATTACTGTCATTATAGATAAAAGTCACGCTGCAGACAACAGCGTGATGCCCGTGCTCTACCCTCTGCCTTCACCACACTTCCGATAGCAAACAAGAAAACAACAAATCAAACGCCTACATAATTTCTTTACATGTTGGCAGTAGCAACATTTACATTGGTGAAATGGGCAAAGCAACCTTTTGATTCTAAATGACATGACACAGTACAACATGCTCCAAAATAGTGTTGTCAAAAGACCCGGTACTTCGGTACCAAGTCGGTACTAAAAAAATGAAAACGTTACGGTACCAGGTTTTTTTAAGTACCGGTGGTACAGAGTACCCGGTCAACCCGGTTCTTGATGCGCTATCCTAAAGGTGCGCAGATGCGCTCTCTTCATTAAAGCACTGAGACGTGGCGACATCAAAACGAGGAAACACACCAAACTAACAAAACACTTTAAAGACAGATACCCGGATCAAATGAAAGACTTCAAGCAGGTAAGTTTCATTTCAATTTTTAATACTTGTGTTTCCCATACATTGATTTATTTGTGGTGCACAATATCAAAACTCACCGCCACAAATAGATTCTCCAAAAGGCTTTGACTTTGTTGAATAAGCATGAGCACTGCACGTGTAAAAGTCGAAACCGGTGCGGGTGTTTTTATATCAGGGGTTAAAGCAAAAAAAAATATTTTGACTGAACATTTTTCCTCAGCCAAACCCTATTCCACAGCCATACCTGTCACACACCCAGTTTAAGAGCAGTTTTTTTTTCTTGTAATTAGGAGCGCTTGTCCTCCTAATTAAAAAAAATGTAGGAGCACCTTCTGATCAATAAAAAATTCTGATAAAAAATTTGCCTTCCTACTATGAGGTGACATTTGACTCAAAGTGATTTACAGGGGCATTTTCTTTTTACCTTTGTAATGGCATATTTCTAATTTTATAAAACGTATGCAGTGTTTCCTAGGATTTTTTCCAGCTGTGGTGGCAGGACTATTTCTCATGGACCACGCCCCCTCCCCTCCCCACCCAAGAATCAGGTGCACTCAGAATTGAATTTATTTGAACTAAAAAAGACAAGTAAATAGTAAATAATAAAATAAGAACAAACAAATTAATGACAATCAATAGCACAAACAAAAACAATAAGACACAAATTAAATTAACAGTATTTAAATTTTTTCAGTTAGGTCTAACTATAATCTATTCAACTGTAAAATAACACTGGTTAGACTTCACTGTATAATGATAGGCAGCAGGAGGTTTATTTAGGCTGCTGTCTCTTTAAGACCTCATGCACGGATCTAATATACTGTTACACATGGCTCTATGCTTACTTTTCTTTTTAAGAGCTCCTGTCCTCCCAATTAAAAAAATTTAGGAGCACCTTCTGATCAATAATCAAATTCTGATTAAAAATGATCCTTCCTAATATGAGGTGACATTTGACTCCTTAAAGTAACGTACAGGGGTATTTTCTTTTTACCTTTGTAACGGCATCATTTTCATCTATGTCAAATTCAAAAATGTATGTTTATAAGCTTTTTAACATTTTTATTTAAAACAATATAATAAGCAGCAGAATAAGACAAATAAGTTACCAATCATATGAAGTTAGTATTAAAAAAAAATAATTTGTACTACAGAGGTGGCACAGAAGAACACAAAAGTGGCTTGTAGGTACATTTTCAGACGTTTAATGAGGCTCAGAGGTGGCATGAATGCAATTAAATTGTTTTAAATATAAAATTTTGAATACAGAAATAATAAATGATTTAAATAACTGAAATTATACGCTAAAAATGAAACTAAATCATCCAGCAGGTGGCAGCAAGTCACTAATTTTATCACTGAATCATTCATTCAATTGATTCGTTCGAACTATGGATGTCAATTTTCGATAATTTCTATGATCGATCGTCATTTAAATTAACGATCAATTAATCGATTAATCATTAACCTTAATGCTGCAAAATGCGTCTATGCAGCCCGACATGACAGGATGTGCAAAAGTTACTCAAAAAAAAAAAAACCTGCTTTCTCACCAGATTTAAAGGGGATTTAGTCTAAATAAAATGCTAGTAGCAGGATTGTAAAATGAATAGATGTGATTATGATCATTTGATAAAATGAAGAGAGCTCGTTTGAGATAATTTAACTTTGTTGACCGTTTTCTATCTCGTCACGGGGACCGCTGAACACGCCTCTTTAAATGGTTTCGTGGTGCTCGTTGTTGTATTTTAAAACACAATTGCAATGTTTTCAACTGACATTATGGCATTTAAAATAAAATTATCCCAAACGTAACTATCCCAAACATTATCATACGAGTAGTATGACCAGTATTTAATTTGATCCTGCTGGATCCTGTTCCGGAAAATGTCAGATTTTGAATTTTTGCGTTGCGGTAGGCCTATTTGTTTTTTAAAATCCGGCATTTACAGTGCATTAGATCGTGACAGTGCACACTTGCGTGCATACGAGAAACGGCGCAAGCGTGGATTTGGCTAGATTTTTGGTACAACAACAATGCGATAAATGTTTATTTTCCCCTCATTTTTTCCAATTGACGGAAATCCGTCGTAGACTCGCTGCAATTAATGGAAATCTGTCGTAGCGACGGAGAACTTAAATCCCTGATATCACTGTATTCCTGAAGGAAACCGACTGTCTTCAGAAAATGATGGATGTCATTTTCATTTCATCTTGCCTGTAATGCCTGAGCAGCGTTTGTGAGTGCAGTGCTTATTTGATTACAGCCATTATCGGGGAAACCTCCATTTCTCCTGCTCTACAAGCGCCTCCTGCTGGCAGAAAATTTATTTGCATATATATGCCGCCACAAGTAAAGTGCAAGTCGTTGGGAAACACTGCTGCAGACTTTACATTTTCAACACTGACTTTAGGGGAAAAATCTATGGAATGGATTCAAAACCGTAAAGTGTATTAAATGCAGCTGTGAGTTTAACTGATGAAAATGTAAAGGGCAGGGAATGTGTAAGATGACAAGCACACAGATTGAATGTGGGCCTGTTTGTAACAATTATACAGGAACATGACAAAGTTTTCTGTTATGAAAATTATTTAATATTTTAATTTGAATGTCAGATTGAAATGAACATTGCTGTTATTAGAGTAGTTAATCGTTAGCATAAGCGCGGCTAACGCTAATATAATGAGCATTAGAATGAAGTTTCTTTATTAACTATTTAATGCTCCTATAACTTTTATTAGGGTAAAAAAAAACAGGAGGACATGATGACATTTACAATTTTTATACACCAGAGGCTTTTAAATGAATTGTGAATCTAAAATATGCGTGTTAGAGAATGTACAAATGGTTAACATTGTCTGTGTCGTATCAGTCAGAAAAGCAGTTCTGGGCTTCTTTTTTTTTTTTTTTTAGCTAACTTAGTTGTTATTCTGGGCTGAATGACTCTAGAAGGTTTTAAAAGCCCTTTAAAATTAAATATGTACACAGTTTGGATTAAATGAAAGTATAGTCAAATTTTTTAATTAGTATGTTTTTGTGTTTTGCTGGTATTGGTACCGAATACTGAAATTTTGGTACCGTGACAACACTACTCCAGAACAAATACTGGCATCTCAAACCATCAGCTCAACTATGGGAAATATGAATAGAAAAAGAGACGATATGAAGTTCACCTTCTTAGGTCCACTGAAGATCTTCCTGCTGCTCTCCTTGGCTGTCTCCTGAGCTTTGACCTGAGGTCTCCTTACTGTTTCAGAGGGAATGAGGACTTCTGGGAACTCCAGAGGATCTGTAAAACCACAAACAAACATCAGCCACGTGTCTGCTAAATGTCTGCTATTGTCTCTAATAGGAAAATTTGTTCTCTGAACTGTTGACAAGTGCAGTTAATCACAGCAATGGACATGTACCTTGAGCCATAGATAAATATTTGAAATTATACAAAAAATTTTTTGCAAAATAGCAAAGATGAATACGTAAAAAAAATTAAAATAAAATAAATAAAAAACATGTAAATGTCCATGTGTGAATCTACAAACACATGTTGGGGACATATTTTACAATTAACAAACAAATAAACAAATATATACATCAATTACTAATAAATAAATAAATAAAACCTAAACTAACAAGTAAATACCTAAATTAATAATCAGTGGTCAACCGATATTGTTTTTTTGACAGCCGATGCCGATATCTTGGACAGCAGGGTGGCCGGTGACCGATATATATTGCCGATATACAGTAATTGTATTTATTTTAATTAATATTTAAGAAATTTGAAATCATCTGAAACTAGATTAAAAATAAATTTGTAAAATAAACATACTTATACTTTAGATGACAAAGCATTTTCCACAAATAAATAAATATTTAATAAAAATCTAATTGAAAAGGAAGTAAACTGTAACCAACAGAGCATTCTGGGAAGTTTGTGTGCATTGGGAATCATATTTTTTCAAATAAAAAATATTTTTATTTTGCATAGAGCACATAGTAAAAATGACATGAATATAACAGTGGGCAAATGCATAAAGCGCAGCATAATTTGAAATCACGAATTTAATGTTTAAAGCATTCAATTTGCACGGACCGAAAGTCACAGAGAACACGCGATCATGCAGAGTCACACATGCACACTTCACAAGATCTCACAACTGGATTTGACTAAGTTTGCAAGGTTTGTGAAATACAATTTACATTAGCAATTCAAAGATTTGTTTAAATGATGTAAATGCGTTTTGCTGAATGCTGACGGCAAACGAGAAAGTATTATAATGTTTGCCTTTCTATTACTAATAATATAAAAGCAATTGTTATAATACTTTTTGTATACATTTTAATTCCTTTGTTTAACAGTTCTTTCTGATTATTAGACAGACTTCTATCCGTATTAGACAGAACTGTTAACGACAACAGCGAACAAGAGGGAGAATGTGAGCGCCGTCAAAATAAAAGTCCCGTCTCGAATATATATATATCTGCCAATATTTGAAAAATTTATATATCGGACTTGGCGATATATCGGTCGACCACTATAAATAATAATATATTCCTAATATAATATACACACTTTTTAGGAAATATGTGCTTAACTGTCAGGGGGGAAAAATGCCACAACGAAAAAAAAAAAATTTAATTTTCTGTATGCAAAAGGTAAAAAAACCCCTCAGATTTATTGTGGATTTATACAGGTACTGCAACGTAAACAGAGCCCAAAGTTAGTGTGTTGTGTGTAAATACTGACCGTTTTCAAGGCTGTAACTGTGACCTGCAGTGTGACTGCTCTGAGAGCTCTGCATCACTCTGGTCTGAGGACTGTCAACATAAGTCTCTGTATACATCAGTGGCACTGCTGCAGCCTTCCTCTTGAGTTTCCTTCTTTCAGAGGAACCCTCCTCTTCCTCACCGTCACTCCCACTCATGTCATCAAAGCCGAAGTATTTGATCCTGTAGTTAGAGCTTCCTGAAGCGGAGTCGTCATCCTCAGGCACAGCATCAGACTCATCAAACCCAAAGAGTTTCAGCTTACTGCTCTTCATTTTGCTCTGTGTGGGTCTGGATTGACTAGAAACCCAACAGACAAACAGCCTGAATCTCACACAAGACTTCAAATCAAACATGAAAGAATGAGGCCAAGTGAGAGCAACCAATGAATTATGAATTTGACAATTACTGGCAGCTCGGAGGATTTTATCACATTTTGCTTCATCTATGTATACCTGATCAGTTGGTGTCTCCCAATTAGCGCTGGTTAAGCAATAAAAACAATTCTAACAATCTCAAATAATTTTATTTATTTGTTAAGTAGGGCTATCATTACTTGATTAAATTGGAGTACCAGATTTGTATAGGGGTTCTCTCAGAGCCACTTCAATGAGGTGTAAGAGATTGAAACTAGGCGCAATCAAATAAATATTTTCTAAGGTCTAGAATTGGATGGTGTTAATGTTCACATCTCTATTTTTAAGCAGTTGAGATTTAGAGCTGTGGATTAATAATGGAGCCGTGGTGCTCAATTATAGGCACCACGAGGCTCAAAACAAAACAAATAAATACATAAAAATTGAATAAATTATTAAATTTAAACAAAAACAGTACTAAAATAAAAAATACAAAATAATAAAAATAAATGCATATGCCACAAAACAAAACTAATACTATAAAACTAAACAAAAAGCACCACAAAACATAAAAAACTAAAACACTACAAAACACACAAAAAAAGCCACAAAACAAAACTACACAAACAACACATAGCAAAACCAACAAAATAAAAAGGGAGAGAAAAGGTCTAGGATCCAGCATGAGAACTACAGATTAGACTGAGACTACTGTCCAAAAATAGTATGAAGTACAGCTCAATATAACTGCAGTACTAAGAATGTCATGTGATTACAGCACTGTTCTTACATGCAACTATTACCTGAAAGGTTTGCTTTCTGTCTCGGTTTTCTTCCTCAGTCTTCCTGCATCTCCCGGACCAGCTGCTGGGGCGCTGGCTGTGTACTCCTCCATACTGCGGTCCATAGAGTCCTGGAAGGTGACGTTAAACATGGAAACACAAGATGGATGTAGCACTGTAAAGTCTCTCGTCCGACTTCTGTTTGTTGTTTTCCCAGCATTTTCAGCCCCGCTGTTCTGCAACACTCCTGTGGAGCTATGACTGGAAACACTTCCATCGGGTCCACCAGGCTGTTTGCCTTTATTGGGTCTGCAGTACGTTCTGCAGTTGGATGCCCTGAGCACAGACTGAGAGTGGTCCTCGCTTTCAGATGGCTCAACGGGAACATTAAAGTCTCTTTGGCCAAACTCGTCTAACCGAGTCTCAGTAGAGGATTTGCCCTGAATGTTGCTGTGACTGTAACTACTCGATGCCCACAAGGTAGACGGAGGGTCTTTAGGTCCGGTAAAGAGGGATGTGGAGCGTGCTCCCAGACCGACCACAGCGCTCCAGGCATCATAAGAATCATTGTCCTCTGTTTTTTCAGACTTTAACGTGGTGGTCTGGGCAAGAGGTCTCGTGTCGCTTTCAGAAGGGTTTTTGTACCATGAGTAGCTGTGGTGGTCTGTGCTCTCAATGGACCAACTCTGGGTTTTTCCTACAGGAAAGCAAGTCAAACATCAATTAGATGTAACAGAGCTCTTGACCAGTCATGTTCCTAAATCAACAGGAAGTAGGTTACTGAAAAATAGCTACATTAATAAACAAAATCAACAGAACTTGGTCTAATGTTAAACTTTAAGCAATAACCAGTTACCTAAGCAAAAACCTGTTGTAACTAGATATAACTACTAAAGTTGCACTGCCTCATTTGTTTGTTTCTCTGGCCAAAACAACTCTGGTTTTAAACTACATTAGGGCTCTACGATAGTGGTGGTTACGACTGAATCACGACTGATTTGAAAATGTATTCTATTTGAATTATTGCTATTTCATGTACGCACACATAGGGAACAAACTCAATTAGCAGGGTTAGTTTTACCTAGGGCTGGACGATATGGCCAAAATTTATATCACAATATATTTCTTAATTTTGGCCGATACAATATAATTCCGATATCGATATGAACACTATTAAAAAAATAAAAGCCTCATACAAACTGCCAAGAACACCCACAACAGATGTCTGTACTCATAGATCGATTACAAAACTATACAGGTATTCAAGGGCAGGCTTTAAGATGGTTTAGATCCTACCTGTCCGATCGCTACCACCTTGTTCATTTAACACTATTTTCCTAATTAATGCTGTTCAGTTGCTTTGACACAATCTGTATTGTTAAAAGCGCTATATAAATAAAGGTGACTTGACTTGAACCTAAAAACTTCTGAAAAATGCATTTTCCAAGTCTATGAAACAAAACCACCTATAAAACTATACAATATTTAAGAAAAAAAACTGCACAAATAAATTAATGTTTACCTTATATCAAACTATAGGCTGACATACACTACCAGTCAAAAGTTTTTCAACAGTAAGATTTTTTATGTTTTTTTAAAGAAGTCTCTTCTGCTCACCAAGCCTGCATTTATTTGATCCAAAATACAGCAAAAACAGTAATATTTTGATTTTTTTTTTTACTATTTACTATTTTTTTTAAATGTTTTCTATTTGAAGATATTTTAAAATGTGATTTATCCCTGTGATTTCAGAGCTGAATTTTTAGCATCATTACTCCAGTCACATGATCCTTCAGAAATCATACTAATATGCTGATTTACTGCTCAAAAACAAAAACATTTATTATTATGTTGAAAACAAATTAGTAGATTTTTTTTTCAGGTTTCTTTAATGAATAGAAAGTTTAGAAGAACAGCATTTATCTGAAATAGATATATTTTGTAACATTATAATCTTTTTGATCAATTTAAAGCAGGGGTGCCCAACCCTGCTCTTGGCGATCGACTGTCCTGCAAAGTTTAGCTCCAACTCTAATCAAACACACCTCCCTTTCATTTTTAAGTGATCCTGAAGACCTTAATTAGTTGCTTCAGGTGTGTTTGATTAGGGTTGGAGCTGAACTTTGCAGGACAGTCGATCCCCAGGAGCAGGGTTGGGCACCCCTGATTTAAAGCATTCTTGCTAAATAAAAGTATTATAAATAAAACTTATATAATCCTTTTACTTAGTATTTTAATTAGTGACGTGCCGATCATAGCTGATTCAGAATTCAGATTTTCTTTTCTTTCTTTTTTTTTTAACTAGCAAATTGGATTCTGATACTGATACTGATTTTTAAGCACATTTATTTATTGGCTATTTGCTTTATAACAAAAACTGGCTTTAAACAAAAATATCTAGCCATTTGAAATTAGAGGCAACCACTGCCTTTTAATCACGATCTGCACGGGCAGTTGTTTTTGATTTGATTTAGATTAATTTCAGGATTTAAAACAAAAACAGAATGGTCTGACTTTAGGTGTTATTTATTTATTTGCTACATAAAACATCTGCACGAAACAACAGCAGGTCTGAATGAGACGCACTCTCTGACAGCAGGTGGTGCCTATGAATAGGGTTGCCAGGATTTCGCAATAAAACTAGACCAGTTTCGAGGAGGGTTCCCCTGTCAAAATCGCATTCCGGGGGTAAAATACACGTTTTTCGGTGGGGATCTTCCAGTAAAATTCACATTCCAGGGGCTAAATATCACATTATTGGGGTCGCTTCAACCCGCGTACATGAACAACAACCTATAGTCTGCAACAGTGTTAAAGTAGCCCAATTCCACGGGAAAACCGCAGACTTGGCAACACTGCTTATGAACCACCCGCAATATAGCGTTTCCTTGATTACCGCTGTAAACAAGAGCTGCGCTTTATACTGAGGAGAAGAAAATGCCATTGCCATCGAAACTTTTCGCAAGACAGTACCCTTCAGTTATACATTAATACAACCCAAGAAATGTAATGCATTTTTGTACTTATTTTAAGGTTATATTCGGGATCTAAAATAAATTCTGTCATAGTGTTTCATTTTTATACCATCATTTACTCAAGTTGTTTTAAACCTGAATTAGTTTATTTCGTCTGTTATTTTTGAAGAATGTGGGTAACCAAGCAGTTGCTGGTCCACAGTGACTTCCATGGTATTTTTTTCCTACTGTAAAAGTCAGTGTGGACCAGCTACTGTTTGGTTACTCACATTCTTCAAAATATCTTATTTTGTGTTCAGCACAAGAAAGAAATGTATACAGGTTTAGGACAAAATGTGAGTGAGTAAATAATGACAGAAATAAAAAATTTTGGGCGAACTATCCCTTTAGTGACAGTCGGCAGCATGTTTAGTAGCTACTGTCCCTTTAAGAGCTTCACGTGTTTCTCTCTCAACTGTTTACTTTCATTTTAGACATAACCAACTGTGTTTATATGTAAACCTTGTGTGTTTTTGACAGTATTATACACAAAATCAATCAGACGCGCAAGACAACTTAGTCCAATAATCAGGCGCTTTTTGACAGTCTCTCAGTGTGAGCACGCTTCATGAGTACGTGCTCAGAAAAAGCGCATGCAGAACAGCACGTGAATTAAAAGTTTAACCGGTATTGCTTTAAAGCAGATGGAAATAATGTAATTTTGTGATTGCGCATAAGTGCAGTGTCCCGTGAGAGTAACTCTACCGCTGAGCTAACACTGATGTGAAAGCATGTGGCGTTGTACATTATATTGAGACGGAGGGAGGCGCCAGAACTGCAGCTGATAGAATGTGCGCTGTAGCACGATACAATATTTCTTCAAAAGCAGATCGTGGAGACGTTTTAATCGTCCACGATCAAAAATTTTCATATCACACACCCCTAACTACCAAGTATAATCAATCTCACACACAAAAACAAGCACAACGAAATCACTTCACACTATTAAGCGGCTGTGTTATGAACATGCAAAACTGAATAGCACTCGTGATACAGTGGTAAATTTATTCATCGCACAGACCAGTTTACATACATGTTGCACTGTACAGCCCTGCATAGAATATTCATACTGACAAACCTAGCGACTTTTTTTGGATAAACCTTAGCTATGGTTCAGTTGGACGATTTCACCAGTGCTGTCCCAAGAACGCGGTTAATAAAGCACTACTTTAGTTTTTGTTCAGTATCAATTTTAAAACTATCGGTTAATTAATCAGTATCGGCCAGTGTGGTCCAACCTAGCTATTGGTATCGGCAAAATCCACTATCTATAATACACCTCTAGTATTTGTACTATTATTTAATTATTTGGGATGTGTTTTAAAATTTCAATTTAGCTTTGGTATTTGACATATTTCAATTGTGAAGTCTGAAAAATAATACAAGGACACCTCTTCATTTATTATTTGTCTTAAAGTCCATGTAAAGCAATATTAAATGTGTTTTCTGAGTTTGTCACACCACAGAAAAATGTGTTATTAACCACCCAGCCAAAAAAACGGCAAGTAAATAAAATAAGGTATCAAAAAAAAATCTTGAAAAAATAAGCAGTATTCTCTGCTCTCAAATGCTGGGGTCACTGTCCACCGTCCGCTGGCGGTGCTGAAACCATGCCCACTTGCGAGAAAGCTGCCATCTCTCTCAACTGTTAAATTCAAATAAATTTAAATAAGGAGACCGAGCTGTTTTGTAAATTATTGCAACCAGGTATTATGCATTTTCATCACGAATGGCAAAGCTAGCTAGCAAATTGTAGGCTGTAGTAACTAACGGTAATGACAGTCAAACCACTTATGCTAATGTGCTCTAGGTGTGTTCGACTTGAAGCAGAACGATCAGCGTATGATATCAAAGTATTGCAAGAGCAATTCGAAAACAAGGAGCAGTCTGCTCTCTATAGCTCTCACTGTACTTTGATGTCACACACCGATCAGTCTGCTTCGAGTCAAACACACCTCTTATTATAGTGTTAGGGGAGGGGCCATACTCAGTGGCTCCATTGTGTCACGGAGTTATGATTTTAGCCCTGCCCAAAAAATCCTAAACGCACCAATTGATAAACACTCGATTGTGCAAGTGGCAATTCCTGTGTCAACTGTGCAGCTTGCAGCTCGCTTATAGTGCAGACGTGATGTGATTTAAAGCCATTTGCACATTTTGAGAGGGAAAGAGAGAGCGTGTGCGGTGATTCATTCACGCCGTTTGTGAAATTATGTCTCATAGAACGTTTTTAAAAATTCCTGTATAAGTTATTTAATGAAGAAATATGAACTGTACCTCACCTTCAGCATTATAATTATTGTACCCGCGCCAGACAAAGACTGAGACGGTGCCACTTCATGTCGTGCCAAACCTCTCACAGCAGGCGCGTCATCAGCTTGAGATCGTTTTTTTGAGATCGGCTTTTTTAGAGACCGCCGATCAATCATCCCAAAGCGATTATCGGCCGATAGTGATCGGTAGCCGATCAATTGGAGCACCCCTAATCATAAGAGACCCTTAGCAGTTACAGACAAGGTAATGAGTTCTGTGTGCTGTGTGTCTAAATGAGATAAGCAGCTCACAGGAGCCTGTCCAGATACTACACTCCATCGGCGTCTAAGTGTTCTCCTCATATTAACATCGCCACTGACGGGTGTCAGTGTTCTGAAAGTTTCCTCTAACTTCACCTCATTGAGTACTTAGTCAGCCAAATGATTTGCAAGACCCTGGAGGAGTACCGATTTGAAAAAGCAATTATGCAGAGGAAATGTAAAATAGAGTTAGGGCCAATTAAAGATGTTCATTTCTTGGGCTGCTGAGAGCTCTAGGCTGTTGTTATAAGAGTCAGTCCACCGTATCCATTACTGTGATATTAAGCAGGGTCTTACACAAGTCTACAGCCTGTAACGCTGGTGTCCTGAGCATTTTACAGCACTCATGGCAGCAGATGCCCTCAAGGAAGTTTTCTTGCAAACATGAAAAAAAAAAACACCCTTATTGATGATGAGTCAGTTTATCTCAGGTCTGTACCGTTGCAACCAACATGCCTACAGCAACATGCATGTGAAATTCCACCCGCATTCACTTCCACATTTCTTTTCCCTCCTTACAACACAAATAGGAAATTGAAGTGTGACAATATACATATTTTTTTTTTGCATTTTGTTGGGTATGAGCAATAAGTGTTTTTGTATATCCACCCAAACATGAGAATCCATACGTATCTACAATATCAAACTGTAACTCAACATTGGAAGCAGTGAGAATTATTAATTCTTTTAGGACAACTCAATGATTGATTCGCAAAAACCAAGCATTCGCACTGTCACAGTGGGTGACACTATTGCACAAGCGGTAATCTCATTGGCTAATGTTTACATTTCACATTCCGTGTTTTAATTTCAGTGAATGCCTTCAAATTACATCTCATTTGAATGCATATTAAAAATCCATGACATCCATGAAACTGTCGTACATTTCACATCGTTTCTACACCGATGGTTTTACCAAAATTGTGCAAGCTGTTACATAGATAGTAGGGGTGGAACGGTTCAACTTACTCCCGGTTTGGTTTGTATCACGGTTTTGGTACGGTTCGGTGTGTGCTATGTTTAGGCAAAAACTAAACTGTTAAATACAAATAAAGAAAATAAGAATAATCTACCTACAAGCAACAGCACAAATAAATACAATAGAGTAAAGACACATATAAAATAAACAGTGATTTTCAGGTTTTTTTAGGTAGGTCTAACATTAGTTTTTAGGTACAGAAATTGAATAAAGTAATGAAATGTAAAACAGCATTGCACATTCAACTGTATAAATTAAAGATTAATCTTTATTAAAGTTACAAAAGCTATTCAATTTTTAGAAGTTCAAAGTTTTAGAAACTTTTTTCCATAAAAGGTACATACTGACAAACCTAGCGACTTTTATTGGTAAACCTTAGTTATCGCTCAGTTAAAAGATTTCTCCAGTACTACCCCACAATCTGACTTTTCCGGTGCTGTAACTTAATCTGAAGTGTAATTTACTGACTGTTTGGCCTTATAAAATTGAACTTAGTTCATCTGTTAATCCTTTAATACGCACAGTTTGTTACTCAGACAAAGGGAGTGTGCTGCGCGAGATAAAAAAGTAACATAGCCAAAACCACCGCATATAGTCACTCTTTAGTGTAGATTAGGGCTGCACAATATATCGAAATTATCGAAATATCGCAAATGTAAATATCGCAATATGCATATCGCAACGGCGTGCAATATCATTATCATTTTAATAATAGGCTACTTAAACCAAAACGTTGCAAAAGGTCAATGTTTTAGTTTGATGCATATAGCAGAGAATTGCTTGACGTTAAAAAGAGTTATTAAGTGCAATAAGTTCCAGAAAACAACTCTTTGCCGTCTCGTCTTGCTGTCTGACTCACACCTGAAGAGGCGCGTTTCAAACCGAGTTGATTCGTCTTTCGCATCTCCTCCTCCTTATGTTTGAACAGACACATACACACAGAATTATGTCAACAGTACCCGTCTCGACGATCATTCTTGTAAACGCAGTCGGTTATGTTTTAAATGAATGTAAACAGCTGAGAAAGAAATCGGATGTGTACCATTATACTGGATCCGTGCAACCGGATTTAACGAGACAGCAGCCTATAAATACGTGCTGCTGAATATGTCACTAATCTTAACAAAACGGCTATAACAAAGATTAATCTAAATTTAATTAATACAGTGAACACTATGCAGTGTTATTTTACACTTAATCATTACATTTTTGTACCTGAATACTACTGTTTATTTTATCTATGCTTGTAAATTGTGTATTTCTTTTTTTTTACTGACTGTTCATTTGCCTTTAATCATGTTTGAACTTCTCAGACTATAGTTTTTGCTGTGGTATATGAAGAAGTACTTAAAGTGTGTGGAAAGCAAAGTTACAATGATATAAAATTAGTGTCATAAATTTTTTTTGTTTGTATGTTCACATTGATGTTAAATTACATTTTCGGATTTGTGACATTACTTTTTAAGTAATGCTAAAACACTGCTGGTCTCTTTCAGAAGTTGTAGTGATTCTTTATTTTCCAAGAAAGAATGTGAAACAAATTGGTTATATAATTATAATTTTTAAATATTTTAAAATATAATTTAAATTGATTTTACACACTTCAAGCAATATCATATGGCATTTCGAATATCGCATTTTTTAACAAGGTATCGCATATCGCGTCGTGCGATACACAGCCCTAGTGTAGATGTATGTTGATTTTATCATATTATAAATCAGGATTTAAAGGGGTCATATGATGCTATCTTATAGACTATTATTTTGTGTATTTGGTATAACAGAATATGTTGACATGCTTTAATGTTCA